TAACCACACGTGTGAACTTGTATTATGACGCTTTCTTGTTTTTCCAACGCCAAGAACGTTCGAGAAAGACAAAGACAGAGACAAGCATGCGCCGATTCAATGCGCCTAATTCTCTAGCGCTGCGTGCGCAGCACTCTCGTTCGGTGACTCATCGTAACGTTACCGGGCGTTACACTTTTTCATAAGTGACTCCCAGCCGCAACCTAATTTAAGACGTTGTCACGTCAAAAAAAGATATTTCTTAATGCTGATGATCTCAACCTAAATATGTAAATTCACAAGAAAATATAATCTTCAGGATCTACCTCACACACGGAGTTTAACACTTCGTAATCAACAACAGCTGTAGACGCAATAAAAAAAAAAACTTTTCAGAAAAACCCTCAGGAAACCAACAAACACCATGCCATGCACATTTCCTGTAACCTACCAGTTTTGTTTTGATTTAGGTATTTCGTTCCTCAATTGTCCTCTTTATATTTTATTTTCGTAAACATTTCGAAAATATTTATACAACTTTTTCAATTTCAATATTTTTTTAAAATACCATACAACAGATAGAGATAGTTTTGTCATTTATATGTTCTCCTTTTTAGATATAAGTTATTGATTCAGCTGCCCAACACTTGAACTACAGCGATTCCAAACGGCTACACTTATTGGACTGCCCTCATTCAATGACACTGCCCTATTGAATCTACCAAGAAACAAACCGGCCTGGAAACACTTGGTGAACTGGTTCACTAAGGCTACCAAGACAGACTCCTAAACCACAGGACAGCCTGGGTAGTTGGCGATCTATGGATACGCTCCAGGAGCCTGGGTTACCTTTATGTTACCACTACTACTAAGTCCTTGATATAATCTTAGAGATAAACGACAACGTCTAAAGAAGGATATAGTGATGGGTGCCAGTTACTTCTTTATACTTGTAACGACAGATTATCTTCTCATCTAGAGTGATTTACAACAGGAATAAGTCACAGAGTATCATAAAATTGTTTTAAATCTTTTAAAAGACATGAATCTGGGTAGATTTCCCATGCAGTCTAACGGCCCAATCTATTGAGTCAGGTCACATTATGTGTTTATATCCAATATATCCGGTTGCTGCGGCAATATATCTTGGTAGAATAAACCCAACTTCAGGTTGTCCAATTGGACAGTAGTTTGTGGCCCTCATCAGTAGGGAAGTTTCAAGAACGAGGCGATTTTATCTGAGGTTGATAGACGAGTTGGCTTCCTTTGCTTCAGTTGGAAATATTTAATGGGAATAGATTAAGTGACTAGAGAATTCTTACCTGACATCTTCGTCATCTATTTTATATTTACTTTCACTTTAAAATGAGCTCTTTGTTTGTATCCTATTATTTTCCCCATGATATTCTCTTCATAATTAAGACAAGGGATTTTATTTTAGACTTCAAATAATAAACTCGAGCAATTTCTTGAGCCCCTCTCCATTCTCAACACATAGAATTTTGAGGCTTATTTCTTCTTTGTTATTTTTGTCTCTTTCGCCTGATCAGATTCAATCAAACGTCTGGTCAAAGAATTATTCGACTTAATGGAGATATTTATAAACTGTGAATTTTCTTATTTCCTTTCTCTTCTTTATCGTAAAAATAGCCTTTTTCGAAATTTCGTTTTTTTTTTGTTTTCGTAAATTTATATGATTGACGGAAAGAAAGATTGGAATTCACTAGTATGCTCTTTCTAATTCAGACAAAAGTATATTCAGACAGAAAATAGAATATTCAAATTTAAACTTATAACACAATTTTTTTTGAAATATAAAAATATCTCTTAAATGGAAATGAATGATCACAACCATTGTTATTATAACAAACCTAACTTTAATTTAATTAAAGTGACCAGGCTAAATCTACTTTCAAATGACAATTCTTTGTTATTTATTCCCCTTTCTATGTGAAACCACAAATGGCATTGATTTCTTGAATGGCTTTATTTCTGAAAGATTTGTTTTATCACAAGTTTAGTTATAAATTGTTTTTATAAATATCACTTTTATATTTATTTCTCTCTTTAAATTTTGAAATATCACATATAATAAAGCGTCTGTTCGTTGAAGCCGAATAGGATTGGTCCATTCTGTGTCACGTGTTCAAGTTACGTAGTTAAGTGACGTGGCCGGCTGTAGGTCTGTTTGGTTTTTGTTTTCATCCTTTATTTTATTCTATTCTGACCTTATTAGTCATTTTTTTGCTTTCGGCAATTTATTCGGTGAATATTTGAGGAATAATATTTTTTAAATAATTTTATTTTTTTAATTTAGCTTGATTATTTTATTTTTATAAACAATGTCTCCTAAAAGAGCCCTTTCTATTGTTGAGGCCATCGAAGCAAAGCAACGTCGTATTGAACAGCAGCGACAAAGACGTTTAAATTCTCCCGTATGAGAACGGCATAATGAACAACAACGGCAATACCGAATGAATATGAGCGAAAATCAAAGAGCCCTTCAAAGGGAAAACAGTAGGCTGAGGATGCAAAGAATTCGACAGGGAGATAATCTACCTTTGCCAAGAGGGACATGTTTCGAGGAAGATCAAATTCCCCTGCACCTTTGTGGCCAACTTGATCAAGTTTGCCCAAAATGTAGAGCAAAGTATTTCGAATTGGAACAAACGACATACAGTAAAACCTTTCATAAATGCTGTTCCAAAGGAAAAGTCGAACTTGAACCGATTCAAACCTCTGAACTACTTGAAAGTTTAATGACTGGAAAGCATCAACTTTCAATGAACTTCATGGAAAACATCCGTTCCGTCAACAGTGCCCTAGCATTCGCTTCAATGGGAGCAAACCTTGTACCTCCTCCTGGATATGGGCCCTATTGTTTCCGAATCAACGGACAGATTTATCACCGCTCAGGTGCCTTGCATCCTGAAAATGATGATCATGTTGCAATGATGATCATGCAAATGTCATTATTTATGATGAAGCTACCATGGCACCAAAAGATGCTCTTAGATGCATTAATAATCTCTTGAAAGAAATCATGCAAAATGAAAAACCACTTGGTGGTAAAACCATTGTCTTTGGAGGGGACTTCCGACAGACTTTGCCTGTTGTTCCACATGGAACTCAAGCTGCAATTGTAGATTCAAGTATTAAATTTCATCCTCTATGAAAAAAATTTAATATTTTGAAATTAGACAATAATATTAGGTCAATTGACCCAGAGTTTAGTGCCTGGCTTTTAAAGCTTAGAAATGGCGAGCTAACAAATGATCTTGGCTTAGACTCCGATACATTTGAAATACCATCTGAAATGGTTTGCAATGGCGATTTAGTCAAAGAAATTTATGGAGATAAATTGCTTCCTTCTGACTTTGAACAGTATACCGATAAGGCTATACTTTGTCCCAGAAATGTGGATGTTGATGATATCAACAACCGAGTTTTAGATATCCTTGAAGGTGACTCCATAACATATTTCAGCTCAGACTCAATAGATGATGCGACACCTGAAGATAATGAGAGCTATCCACCGGTATTTCTCAACAGCCTTAACCCTTCGGGAATGCCACTTCATAAGCTGAAGCTATAAGTTGGAGCAATCATAATGCTTCTTCGAAACTTAAACACAAAGCGAGGTCTTTGTAACGGGACGAGATTAGTAGTAACTAAATTGTTACCTAATTTAATTATTGCAAAGGTTCGGACTGGCACTGCAGTAGATCAATCTGTATTTATTCCGAGAGTTTACTTGGCCCCAATACATTCTGAGATTCCTTTCATTCTCAGAAGGGGACAGTTCCCTGTAAAATTAGCCTTCGCTATGACAATAAATAAATCACAAGGCCAAACCCTTGAAATGGTTGGCATCTATTTACCTGAACCAGTTTTTAGCCATGGTCAGTTATATGTTGATTTTTCTAGGGTGAAAAGCTCTAAGTGTGTTAAAATAAAAATAATCCACGGAAGCAAGCAAGGAAGGCTTCTTGAAAATAGTTCAGCTTGCTTCACCAAAAGTGTTGTTTACAAATAAATTTATTCATTGTAAGTTCACCTCTTTTAAAGTAAAAATGTTAATTAAAAAAATATCAATAAAATGACCCGAAAGGTAAAATGTTGCAACGCTCGGAAGGGGATCGATCCCTGACGGACCATGAACGTTATTTTACCTCGAACGCTTCCGATTACATATTATTAAGTATCAAAAAGGAATGTGAGAAATAAAATTAGGAATCCACCTGCTCTAGCCGATCCCGTCCTTGGACGGGCTTTTCTACTAGTATTTAAATAAATACACTTGAACTATTTCTTATGAAATAACCAATGAATTTGTATAGAAATTTGAAGACAAAATAATCTTTTTATTGATATAACTATTATTTATGGTACCTAAATGGAATATTTTGGTTATATAAATTAGAACACGTCACACATTCCATGGTGAAACTCGAGGGTATATAAACGAAATCTAAACATTACCCTGAAGTGTTTAAGCAGTCGTGGCCGAGTGGTTAAGGCGATAGACTAGAAATCTATTGGGATCTTCCCGCACAGGTTCGAATCCTGTCGACTGCGTTTTTTTAAAAATATATATCAAGTATTATGTACAGTAGAACCTCCCTGTAAAGGACAACACCTAATTACAGAGCCAAAGTGTCCTTTAGAGCGGGGTGTCTTCTTACCGGAGAGTTACTAAATAGTAAAAATGGTAATTTTGCAAATGAAAACTGTTCTTTATAGAGAGGTGTCCTCTAGCATAAGTGTCCTCTCATGGAGGTTTTACTGTATAAAAATACTCGAACTATTTCCTTTCCGTATGAAAATATCGAACCCTAATGGATTTATTTAGAAATACATTAGCAAAATATATTCATTTTATATTGGAATATCATTCAACATATTCTTTATGGTATCTGAAGAAATATTTGGTTATATAAATTAGAATACGTCACACATGCTGCTATGATGACACTAGAGGGTATATAAACGAAATCTAAACATTACTCTGAAGTGTTTAAGCAGTCGTTGCCGAGTGGTTAAGGCGATAGATTAGAAATCTATTGGGATCTTCCCGCACAGGTTCGAACCTGTCGACTGCGTTTTTTTTTTTTCTGGGCTTAAAAATTATACATTTTGGTTAGTAGCCCGTAAAACCATATTCTCATTTACTCTGAAGTGTTAGAGCGGGGATAGCTCACTTTGAAATATGAAATTGACATCGTATATGGGGATTGAAGTGTATAGGTGATTGGTGATTTTTAATAAAAATGTGTATGTGCATTTTAATGATAAAAGATATATTATTATATTTCTTAAAAAAATAAATTTCTAATGTAATTTACTCATCAATAAAAACTTGTGTGTATATAATATATTAAACATATATTCTTTTAAAATTGTTGTTGCTTATATATAAATAGTGCAATGATTGGTTAAAATTTGAATCATCACAAGGAGTGTTCTCTATGACATAAACAAATATGATGCCATATATAAACTCTGTGAGATAATATATAAAGGAATATTACAATGTCTTTATATCATTGGGAAAAAATACAATTCTTTTTGCTTTTCTAGAGCGAATAAACCTTGTTTGGCATTTGAAATCTTTCATCAATTTCGATATCATTTCTCTAAAGCTAGATAAAAAGATGTAAGAAACGGAGGAGAGTACAGCTATATTAGCTGACGAGATGACCAAATTATAGCGGGATGGTTGAGTTAGGTTAGCTTACTCGAAGCTACTCGGCTAGAACAGGGGTCATCACTGTTAAGAGACGCCGAATGCCCGGAGTTGAAAGTTGTAGGGGAGTGGTAGATAGTTTGTGTGTGAGAACACAACGTTACTACTCACGGACTGAAGTCCACGTAAACACCGAGAACAGGTAGCCGAGATAAGTCCTTCTTTTGTTCCATCCACACAGATTCTCGGTGTCAAGAGGTCCATCGGACTGAGTGGAGGCGCCATAACATGTCCGACAATCCAGGTTCGAGATAGTCCAGCTGGATGTAGCGTAGATCTTTCCATCTTCAGGAGGTCAATATTGGCTGTAGACACCCAGCCTAAATTGTTGCGGCTGTCAACAATCAGGGATGCCATGTGAAAAGATATAGATTTCTCTTTCACTTTCTACTAATAAAAACGGGTTTCATAGCTCTTTGTGATTTCGTTGGATGGATTAGCAATAACGTCTCATTTTAAAAAGAGAATTTTAAATAATATTAGCATTATTCTTCACCTCTAAAATTAGATAGGTACATTGTTTATATAATTATGTTCCATACGCAGGGTTATAACTCAAGGACGCTCGGGCACTAACTTTGCTTATTTACCGCACCAAATACTTTACAGATGTTTTCCATTGTCGATAAATCTGATGCGTATAAATTCGAGTAATTTTAAAAGCTTATTAAATTAGTTTTGTTCCGTTAAAATTAAGGAAATAATGGCGTATAAAAATATTCCTACGAAAAGCATGACAATCACGCGTCAAATACTGGAATTGAAGTAAATTATATAAAAGAAAATATAAAAAGCAAAGATATAAGCATTTAAGACGAATAATCCTTTCAATATATTATAATAACGATTAGATTCGATAAGGATAAGTTTCTTTATTTGTAAAATTGTTTATTTGAAATAGTATCCTTTAATCCTGTAGAAGGGCAGCTTGCGCCCGAAAGCTCGAATTAATTTTACAAATAAAGAAACTTATCCTTATCGAATCTAATCGTTATTATAAAAGATATAAGCATGTTTAGTTATTTCACAAGAATGTTTTAAAGATCAGAAATTGGTTCCCTGCATAGAGAAAAATATAAATAAACATTTGAAATGTAAAACCTATCGTTTTATTACGAACCAATCCAGTACAAATTAAAGAAACCTACTGAGGTATGATGAAGCCATCTGTACAAGAAGTTTAAAACTATTTATCAGTCTGATTTATTATTAGAGTTCTGTGATAATAATTTATATTGTGGCGGTAAGAATTGCAAGCAACAGGCGTAGATAAATCGAACGATAAACGTTTATTGCTGCCAACGAGCAGACTACTCAAATCAAAGAATACACAAATATATATATCAATCATTAATTAAATACATGCAAAACAAACACAAACAAAATCTAAAACTTAATTATGTAAAACAATACAACAAATAACGCTACAATGCCCTCCTCTCCAAAAGGACAGCGTCCTCGCTGTCAGACGGCAGGCTCATCCTCGGGTAGGTCCAGTTGTTCGTCCGGGTCACGGTAGTTCTTCATTCTCACTACGTGCACAATTTCCTTTGGCTTACGACGGCGGTTAGTAGTGTCTAGACTTTCAACTTCGTACGTCACATCCGAAATGCGTCTCGTCACCCTATAAGGGCCGAAATATCGTTTTATTAATTTTTCGGATATCCCTATTTTCCGAACGGGTATAAATATCCATACTTTATCGCCTGGCTGATAGCTCACTTCTCGATGTTTGGCGTCGTAGAGTCGTTTATTGCCCTCTTGCGCTCTCAGTGTATGTAGTCGAGCCAATTGTCGCGTCTCCTCTGCTCGAGTCACTATCTCTCGATTATAGTCCTCTTGATCTTCATCTTTTAAAAGAGGAAACAATGTATCCAACGTAGTTTCAGCTTCTCGTCCATGGATGAGGCTGAATGGGGTGAATCCGGTGGTGTCCTGCTTCGCCGTATTGTAAGCAAACGTGATGAACGGAAGAATAACGTCCCATTCCTTTTGTTCGACGTCCACATACATTGACATCATGTCGGCCAGGGTTTTATTAAGTCTCTCAGTGAGACCATTCGTCTGAGGATGGTACGCCGTGGTAAATCTCTGAGCCGAAGAGCAAAGTCCCGTCAGCTCGGATATTAGTTTAGACTGAAAAACCCTACCCCGGTCAGTAATTATTTCCCGTGGTGCTCCATGTTTAAGCACTACGTCCTCCAGGACGAACTTGGCCACTTGCTGAGCGTCTGCCGATGGTAAGGCTCGGGTGATAGCGTATCGCGTCAGATAGTCTGTGCAAACTATTATCCATTTATTTCCTAAATGGGATATTGGGAATCTTCCGAGGAGATCAATTCCGACTCTTTGGAACGGAACAGAGGTGGGTGGTATCGGTTGCAGCAATCCGGGCGGTCGCAAGGGAGCATGTTTACGACGCTGGCACTCCCTACAGTGACCGACATATTTTCTTATGCTCCTCAGAAGACCTGGCCAAAAATACTTCCTCCTAATTCTATCGTGGGTTTTAGCCAACCCTAAATGACCGGCAGTTGGATTATCGTGGAGACTTCTGAGGACGTCAGGGCGCAAATGCCTGGGGATCACCAATAGCCACGGTTGCCCCACTGGGTCGAAATTCCGCTTGTAAAGAGCTCCATTGATTATTTTGAAGCGGTTTTGATCGTTCCTCGAACATTCCTCCGATATTCTCACAATTACCGGATCTTTCCGCTGTTCCGCGACGATATCAGTTAAAGCAGCTAATGTTGGTATGTCATCTTCGGATTCCCCTGGGTTATTCGCTTCGATTGGATTGCGTGAGAGACAATCGGCATCTTGATGTTTTCTGCCGTTTTTATATACCACGTTCACATTGTACTCCTGAAGTCTTAAGGCCCACCTGGCCAGTCTTCCCGACGGGTCCTTCAGTCCCGAAAGCCAACAGAGCGAGTGATGATCCGTCACAATTGTAAACGAGCGACCAAATAGGTATGGACGGAACTTGCCGATCGCCCAAATCGCGGCAAGACACTCCCGCTCCGTTGTTGAATAATTTTTTTCAGCTGTTGACAGCGTTCTTGATGCATATCCAATCGGTTTTTCACTTCCTCCCTGGACCTGGACCAAAACCGCACCAATTCCAAACCCACTGGCGTCGGTGTGCAGTTCGGTCGCATACTTTTCGTCAAAGTGGGCCAAGACGGGTTCCGACGCGAGTGCCAACTTCAAGGATTCATAGGCCTGCCGTTGATCTGGTCCCCATTCGAATCTGGTGTCCTTTCTCAACAACCTGTGTAGTGGTTCAGCTTTTTGAGCAAAATTCTTAATGAAACGACGATAATATGAGCACATTCCAATGAAACTTCTTACATCAGTAAGGGATTTGGGAGTAGGGAATTTGGACATAGCATCAACTTTACCCGGGTCGGGGTGCACGCCCTCTCCATCCACCAGATGCCCAAAAATGCTTAGTCGTTTTGTTCCGAACAAGCACTTGTCTGGATTTAACACAAGTCCAGCCTTTGAGAGACACCTGAGAACTAATTCAAGGCGTCGAACATGTTCGTCAAAGGTGGGTGAAAACACAATAATATCGTCCAGATAGCAAAGGCACATTGACCACTTCAACCCCCTCAGCAAGGTATCCATCATTCTTTCAAATGTCGCTGGGGCGTTACACAACCCGAAGGGCATAACTTTGAACTCGTACAATCCGTCGGGTGTAATGAAGGCGGTCTTTTCGCGATCTGCCTCATCCACCTCAATCTGCCAGTAACCAGAACGGAGGTCCATGGAAGAATAATAACTCGCCCCTCTTAAGCAATCGAGTGTATCGTCAATCCTTGGTAGTGGATATACATCCTTTTTTGTGATTTTATTCAGGTGTCTGTAATCGACACAGAAACGCCAACTACCATTTTTCTTTTTCACTAATACCACAGGAGAGGACCAAGGACTTTCGGAAAGCTGAACTATACCTCCTTTCAACATTTTGTCGACCTCATTCTGAATGGTTTGACGTTCGACCTGCGACACTCGATATGGACGGCGTTTAATCGGGGGATGGTCCTCTGTATTTATCTTGTGCTTGGCTGTGCTCGTCAGATTAGACGGAAACTTATTAAATTCAAATAAGCCGCTGAAACTCCCAAGTATCGAACATATCCTGGTCCTTTCAAGCATGGATAGATCAGGGCTTATCATCGAGGCAATGTTTGGAGAGTTTTCTTGTCCAAGAATCCCCTGCCGATTGGTGTCCGAAGCATCACCGATGACCGCCAGCTGACCCTCTTCCAGTACCTGTATCTCTCCAATACACATTCCTTTGGGGACAGTTCGATCACATGTGCCGATGTTGGTTATCCAAATTCT